TTCTCACTCCCATTTTGCTCTTACTTAAATCATTTAAAAACATTATAAAACTTACATAGGTGGTAATGCTGATTATTACACCTCATTAATTAAAATCTAAAAACTTGATGGAAGAAAGATGTTCATTCTGACAACACAAAGTAGATTAGGTGTGTCAAATTCTATATCTGTCTCTTTCAACTAAAATCATTTATCTATCTCATAATTATCTCTGTTGTTGTTGTTGCAAAAATCCACTCAGAACCACGTGCTCCAAATAAATCATCAGAAAAGCTTAGTCTGAAAAGCATAGTTTCTTAAATAAAATATAAAGCTAAAATTTCATTAGGTTAAAAGATAACAATAACAATACTTCTGCTCAGTCAGATGGAGAGTTGGCTGACCATAGGTTTACATGTAAGCTTTCATAATATTTTGCTTGTGATCAAATAATAGCTTTATTAGGATTGGAAAAAGCCAGTGCAAGTTTTAATCACCCTTGAAAAGTCTGAGAGAAGTTANCTCAGAACCACGTGCTCCGAATACATTGTTTTCATCAGAAATGCTTAGTCTGAAAAGCATAGTTTCTTAAATAAAATATAAAGCTAAAATTTCATTAGGTTAAAAGATAACAATAACAATACTTCTGCTCAGTCAGATGGAGAGTTGGCTGACCATAGGTTTACATGTAAGCTTTCATAATATTTTGCTTGTGATCAAATAATAGCTTTATTAGGATTGGAAAAAGCCAGTGCAAGTTTTAATCACCCTTGAAAAGTCTGACAGAAGAAAGCCTGTATAGTATTGTCATTCATGTTGAATGAATGTGAATAGGAGGAGAGCTCTCATCATGGTTGATGCTTTCAAAAGTAGAAATTGAAAAGTTCAAAATTAATCAACACCCTTGAAAAGTGACAAACAATAAATCTTCCCACATGTAAAACTGAACCAGTGGCAACAAAACTATCTTCATTAGCACAAGAAGTCAATATTTTCTCTCTAAATACAGTTAGGGTGAGAATGCTAACATTTGACAAATCAATACCACTCTCTTCAGTTTAATAATAAGTCACTATTTGCTTGTAACCACTTAATTTGCCAGGCTATTGATTTATATTTGAATTTTAACTCCGGGTCATTTTTTCATCGATATCAATTATACAGGCTACGGCAGCCACTGCCAAGACAAGCATTGAGGACTGCGACAGTCAGAGATTTTTAAAAGATGAATCTAAATTTTGTCTGCTTTTGCTCTGGCTTTTTTAATTCTAATACTGTTATTATTAGAACTCAAAATTTAAGAATTAAGTGAAAAAGTGGTAAATTTTGATAGGGAAACTGCAACTATAACAACTTTAAAAAGTATCATATTACTATTCTTCTTTTATTATTTTTATTTATTTATTTATTTATTTATTTATTTATTTATTTATTATTATTATTATTATTATTATTATTATTACTTTAAAAAATTGCAAGTACATTGGTCTGTTTGTGTAGCACATGCTTACATGGAAACAAGACAGTACCAAAGACACTTCAGCCTTTACTACTTCAATCAATTTGATTCTCCATTCATGTTCCCAGCTGCGGCATGCTTTAAGGACACAAGTTTTAATATTTTCCCAATATAAATCATTGACAAGCTGCACAAGGCTTAGCAATCTAATTTTACGAAAACCTTTGTAAGCTTCCCTCTTCACAAAGTATAATGGCTAATTATAACTCAATGCCCGCAGCGTAATGCTATTAAATCCATTGTTGGTCCTTCTAGTTTTGCACTTAAATTTTAATGAGGGAATCTGAGAATGAAATCAATATTAAAAGTTGAATGCACAGCATCTTTATGGGTCTCATTTACAACTAGAGAGCCCATTACTTTCTACTCTCAATAATCATTGATTTGGTGACTTGGTTAAAGCAAAATGACACACGAGGGCGCCACTTTCTGGGAACACAATATTCAGACAGTAATACCAAGTCACTAACACAAGGCAGCAAAGCTGTCAAATGTACAGACAAAATAACAGAAAAAAGGATGCAAAAGAGGTCATTTTGCCAATTTTGATGCAATAATAAACAAGCCCGTGGAACTTCAAAGTCACACTTTGAAAATCCCAATATGTGAAACCGNTGGTTTAATAATAAGTCACTATTTGCTTGTAACCACTTAATTTGCCAGGCTATTGATTTATATTTGAATTTTAACTCCGGGTCACTTTTTCATCGATATCAATTATACAGGCTACGGCAGCCACTGCCAAGACAAGCTTTGAGGACTGCGACAGTCAGAGATTTTTAAAAGATGAATCTAAATTTTGTCTGCTTTTGCTCTGGCTTTTTTAATTCTAATACTGTTATTATTAGAACTCAAAATTTAAGAATTAAGTGAAAAAGTGGTAAATTTTGATAGGGAAACTGCAACTATAACAACTTCTTTAAAAAAGTATCATATTACTATTCTTCTTTTATTATTTTTATTTATTTATTTATTTATTTATTATTATTATTATTATTATTATTATTATTATTATTACTTTAAAAAATTGCAAGTACATTGGTCTGTTTGTGTAGCACATGCTTACATGGAAACAAGACAGTACCAAAGACACTTCAGCCTTTACTACTTCAATCAATTTGATTCTCCATTCATGTTCCCAGCTGCGGCATGCTTTAAGGACACAAGTTTTAATATTTTCCCAATATAAATCATTGACAAGCTGCACAAGGCTTAGCAATCTAATTTTACGAAAACCTTTGTAAGCTTCCCTCTTCACAAAGTATAATGGCTAATTATAACTCAATGCCCGCAGCGTAATGCTATTAAATCCATTGTTGGTCCTTCTAGTTATGCACTTAAATTTTAATGAGGGAATCTGAGAATGAAATCAATATTAAAAGTTGAATGCACAGCATCTTTATGGGTCTCATTTACAACTAGAGAGCCCATTACTTTCTACTCTCAATAATCATTGATTTGGTGACTTGGTTAAAGCAAAATGACACACGATGGCGCCACTTTCTAGGGATACAATATTCAGACTAATACCAAGTCACTAACACTAGAAGTGTTCAAGAAACAATTAAGTCCACTTCCCCCACCCACATATGCATTCCTCACATAATGTATCACAAAAGACTCTCACTTGTTACATAATCTTTCTAATGAAGTTAGAGGAAAAAATATTGATTTTAGGAGGACAAGGTACCCCAAATTTCGGAGTGTGTGTCACTGCTTGTTGGCGTGATCACAACAGGAAAAACCTATACTGGTAATCAATTAAATGACATCACCTGTTGGCTAGATTGATTCATAGGGGGTTTAAGTTTTTCAGAGCTCATGGGAGTTCGTATGTCATCTGGGTCTAGTTTAAAAAATACTTTGTCACCCATAGCTGACTTATCCTACCCCTGATAAGAACAGAAAAACGTCAATGAGCTTTATTTCAGCCCTAATTTGGTCTTGATGTGAACACATCTATACAGCACTTGTCAAATTGATTATGTCTGAAGTAGCTATCAGTTCTTCTAGGACACCCAGGGAGAAAATAGACCTGCTGCTAACAAGAAGAATTAGTAAGAGGTTTTTATGAAAGAAACCTTTGTAATTTGGCTAATTTTAGTTCCACAGACTCTTGACAAATTACTCAAGATAAAAATGTTATCAAAAGTCAGTCGGTACACTTATGTAGCTGACTTTAAACCTCTGTTCAGAAATGTATAGCCTTGTGAAAAAAACATCTTTGATTTTCTGTGCCTGGATTAGAAGAGCTTTATGTATTCAAAGTTAGCCAGTACATTTTTGTTGTTGACAAAATAAGAAGAAAAAAATGTGTACAAAAACTGACTGCCTTGGTTGAGAAAACAGAAACTTCTTTCTAAAGATATTCTATTACTGGATTGCATTCATTCATCTATACAGTCTTTTTCACAGAAGAGATCACATCTAGTGAAGAGGCAAGGATGTAGTGTCAAGGAGTGCATTTCATAGTGGCATGAAAACTGTTGTGGTATCCTTCACTGTTAATGTCTACCTAGCTGATCATCAGCTGACATGGTTTTCTGATTATAATCAATCATAAAAGAAAATGACAGGTTAGATTTGTATATTCAATTACACAGTTCACAAAGCACCATTCAATGTTGTATCTGGTTGTGGGATAAGTGTACTCTCCCACATGGTGCAGACAGATCATATGGAGAATTCAATTAATTTAGTTCACAGCCTTGGTTCAGTTGTTAGTGAACACAGATACTTAAATATAAGCAGCTACATATGCACCTACATATAAACACATGCACACACACTCGTACATACATCAAGGCAATATACACACACTTACAAACATTTATGCCAGTACACATGCATCTGCAGACACACACACACACACACACACACACACGCGCGCGCGCGCGTGCGAGTGCGGAGAACCAAAATCTTGACACTACTCCTCAAAGACTTAAGAGATGAGTCACAAGAGCACTAAGGCAGACAAAACCGACAAATAAAATCATAGCCATTCAAGCACTCCCTCCCCCTACTCAACAAACAGATAAGACTAGTATATCCGATTACACAGTTCACAAGGCTGTCTACAAAGGGTGCTCAATTTTACGGTAAATTGATCAACAAGCTTTGACAAATGAAATAGACTCAGACAAGATGCTGTGATGACAAGAGCTTTCTTCTGATTGGCTGAAATTATGATGATGAAGGTATAAATTTTTTCCTAAGGTACAGCAGTTTTTTTTTTTTTTTTTGAAAGGGGGGGGAGGAAAGCAGATGTGGCTCATTAAGTTTTAAATGCTATTGTTTCAAGAGACTCAAATTGTTAACTCTCACGAAAAAGAAATTTTCATAATACTCACAGACAAATGCTGACCCACGAGCAAAGGTACTACAGCCTTTTTTAGGGGGGAGGAGACTGTCGCTCATAGTATTTAATTTATCAAGGCAGTTGTTTATAGAGCCTTTAATTGTTAACTCATGTCATGTGAAAAAAAAAATTCATAATACTCACAGGCAAATGTCGACTCACGAGCACCCATGGTCCAAAGAGTGACGATGAGATAAAAGAGAATGCTGTGTTATATCCCAGTTGTCTTCCCGAGTACTCCCTCTGCTTGTAAAATCCCTTGGTTTATCACTGCTTAGGATTACTATTATGAATATGCGGCAATAAACTTGATCTCTTCCTCTCTTTATAAACCCTCTCTTGTCACATGAGCTCACAAAATAAGTGATAATTATAATTAAAAGTGATTTATGGGTGGTGACTTCTCTTACTGATCTCTTCTCCTCCCGGAACCCACCCTCATAATGGTCAGAAAACCTCCTCTCACGCCCACTCATTAAAGTCCACTGAGGGATTATTGTAGTATTAAGCCAAGGTCCCCGAGATCAGATCGGAAATCGCCCCGCTTGACCTGACCATCAAGTTTAAATCCTCAAGGTAAATGAATGTGGTGAAAATTGGTCAGTCAACAAAAGGTGCAAATTTGCCTCAGTTGGTCAATATTCATACCCGGGGTTTGTCACCTTAATTTCCACCCTGTTAAGCTGTGTTGACTCCAGGTATATTTAACAAGGACACAGGTGGTTCAGCTTCATTTGCTGTTATATCGTGAACTAAATTGGAAATTAATGGCACAGGGCTAGAAGTGGTGTTCATAAAGCAGTCCTTTAAAAAAATGCCCTTGATCCAGTTTGATAATGATAGTCCTCAAGTGATCCGATGTCACGTCAGCATAGGGTAAAATCTTCATCACAGTCCAATCAGCTGTGCACTTTGTGAAAGGTGTAAAAACAAAACTAAGTTGAACTTCCCAATTGAATCTTCTACATTTGCTTCGTCTTCATTCAGATGTCAGTTTCACAGTGTTGTTAGTTTCACAGGTAGGCCTACATTTCAGCGACCATTTCCACCTATGTTCATTTCACTTTCATTCATTTCGTATTTGTTCATTTCACACTAATTCATTTCATGTCATGCTCTTGCTTTTCATTTCATGTCCATTTGAACATAAACTTTGCAAACCTATCACACACTGCAGCGTCCCGTCTTGTGTCACATCTGGTCAATCCAGCATTTCGTCTGTGACATATAATTCTCCCTATAATATCAATTTTTTGTCATTTCTGTTCATTTCCAATGTCATTTCAAGTCATTTTTGTCCATCAAATCAAAGCTGAGTTGTTTCTCCCCTGAGACATTATAACCATATGCCTTATAATAAACATATGAAATGCCCTCAGCCTAAAAGGCAGTTGCTTATGAATATGATTTTCGCCATTGTTGATGTGCAGCTGTAGTAAACTCCTATCTAACACTGTGAACTGTTTACTGAACACACACACCTCTTTGTAAGGTCCTTTCATTCAAAAGAGGCGGACAGCCCTTCAAATCTTCACGCTACAAGCTTTGGACCTCACTATGATGTTATTAAACCCGATTGCCACACAATGCAGCCATCTGAACCCGCACAATGCAACTTATTGATAAAATTTGGTGTATTATTTCACCTTCTTTTCAAAGGCTGGGGTAACTGGTTCAAACTCATCAATACTCAGCGCTGGCTGTGATAAGGAAAGATGCAGGTATTTTTAGTAGTAAAAACTGGGTTAATTTAGGCACAGAAACTGTTGGCTTTTTTTTTCGAATGAAAATCCAGTATTTGTTCACATGTACAATATCCTTTTAGCTGTGAAATGTAAAGATGCAGTTGTTTTAGTTTGTATTATGAACTAAATTTACTCAAACACAGGTTACCATTCCTTGTGTTTTTTTTTTAATGCAAGCTTAATTTTTATCATTTATTATTAATTTTCAGATGCAACAATGTGCAACAATTGCACTGGTGCATCTCTACTTAAGGCACCCAGTGCCATCAGCGGACCACACACCCTGTTTGACCCAGTCTTTCTCTTGGCATTCATCATGTCCCGTCTCTTCCCCCCCCCCCCCACACACACACACAAAGTAATGACAATGTAAGCATAAAATGAAGTAAGACCTGCACTGTGGGGCTGTCAGATAACCATATATTATATGGTGTAATGAAGTGTCTATGATGATTAATGCTTGTGGCTCAAGCATATGTGGGCACTATTACTTTTGTTATAATTGAAATTGATTACATGTTGTTTCCTATTGTGATTTATGAGATGTGTCATGATTCATCCTATTATTATCTTAGCTCTATTTTTTGTTGACTACATCATCTGAGCTTATTCTTCACAGGTTATAATTACTTTTGGACTGATAGCTGTACTGATCAAACCATATCAAATTTTTGAACTAAATAAATGGGGAAATTTAACCATAAAAAAAGGAAATATATATTTTCTGTAAATTTATTTTAGATAAATAAGGTGATCTTTTAAATTTGCTGGAAACTTAACTACGTTAAAGTAAATCTGTGAGTTCAGATAAAGGTAAAACATATTTATGTATAAAACACTGAGGAACTTGGGTGCAACTAGAATTGCACCAAGATGCGAAATAGTAATTGCAACAGTTGAGACAGCCAAGCATCATCCCAGTCATAAAATCACTGATCACATCTGTCTCTACTAGTAAATGTATTCCTGAGGCAACTTCACAACTATATCACGTTAGAAAATACTATGTGTAAGTCTAGTGCATTGGGAAATATGTATCTGCGAAAAATACCACACATTTTGGCATGTAATCGACATGTATAAAGAAACTGAATGTAAATAATTAGAATATATGTAGTTTTGCAAGCAGATATCTCAATCATAAAGTCATTAAGTGTTAACATACCAAAACATAGTGTCTAAACATCAACAAATACACACATGCTAGTGCACACACACACACACACACACACACACACACACAACGGTTGAACCCATACTCCTTAAGACAATAATTAGTCACCAAACTACAGCCCAAACCTCATCCACACTCTGTTTACCTGATCTTAATTCTCTCTGTGTGTGTGTGTCTCTCTGTCCACAGTCTCCAGGTGAGAATACCAGTGTAGTAGGAGACACAGGTATTTAGGACCTGGGGAAGACCAGGCTGAGACACAAACACAAGAGAGGGATTTTATGACCCTTTTAACTTTAGGGGAGAGACAGCAGGCAAAATCCATGCTTGCATATAATTTTGTATCAAATTATAAAGGAATCTTGAAGACATTCAATTCTGGCATGGAAAAATTGTACAATACTTTACATATGAATTATATTTACTGATTCTTTTTTGCTTCATATGTCACAGAAAAAAAAAACTTTAAAAAATCTTGTTCTGTCATTGATCACAGTTAATATTTTCACCTGGTCCAGTTAGCAAAGGTCAATTTGGTACATAGTTTTTAATAAAACATTTATGCACCCCATACCAACACAGATATTTCACCACTATTGCAATGTTATACCCTTTTTATTTAAAAAAAAATTGACGAGAGTATTCAAAGCCTTGCCTTGCTACCTCTATCGTTCCCTCAATTATGCAATGAGCTTCGTTATTCACACCTCTACAATGGAGGCAACTATCAAGGGTACTCTGGGTGGAGGTTCCTTCAGAAGCTGTTATACATTTACATTCTTTCTGGACAAAGAAATCTCTAGCAGTGTCTGCCACAGTGGCATAGATTAATATGTGCCAAGTGTATAATCTACATACTAGTACTTTAACAAAATACTTGAATCTTTGTATATTTTTCAGGAAAAAAAGTCAAAGCTAAATGCACTCTCTACAGGTAACTGACAGTAATGTATTCCAACTTTTCTTAAATCAGACAAATTGAGATTGAGTAGCTCCTTTAAAATAACTCAATTATTAAGTAATTTATCTGTCTTTGCCCCCACTGCAAACATTTCCTACTACAAATCATCTTTGTTCAAATGAACACCCGGGTTAACCCATAATCATTTATTTTTGTTTTTGCTAAAGGCAGTGTCCCTCTTCAACAGATTACTATGTCTATTTGTCAGCCTTATTCAAACAATTCCTGGGTTATCTACTAGTACATGAAGTCCTCCCACTCTTTTGGGGTTATAAATTACACATGATACTTGTAGTAAATTCTCTCTCTCTCATGCAGCAAGCTTTCAACTGGGTTGGCCATATTTGCTTCACGTATCTGTTTGTCTGTATGAATGCTCTCTCTCTCTCTCTCTCTCTCTCTCTCTCACACACACACACACACACACACATTTACTCTCTCTCTCTCTCTCTCTCACACACACACACAAACACACACAAAAACACACACACACAAACACACACACAAAACAAACCATGTGTACACCTACCTGCTATCCCTCTCTCCTGAGAGTTGCCCAGACCTTAATGCTACATATCATAAATTGTTTAATGTCAATATGCTTTTACAACCAACATATTAGCCATAAATCCAATTATATTTGCACCTACTCTACCACAAAATATATAAATAAATAATACTAAGACGTACTAGTCAATTTGATTTTAATCATTATACATTGACACTCACAATCAATACCTAACATTACTGCAAATGCAGACAGGATCTTAATTTTGCTACCAAATTTTCAATAAAAATAATTTTTTTATAAAATCATAATACAGTATATTTTCTAGCCTGGTCTATGGTGACTGTGCATACCTAGAGGCCATAGTGGATGATGGGCAGGGAGCAACAAGTCTTTAAAGTCTATGAAAACTTGAGAGAGAGAAAGAGATTGACTTCATCAAATTTTTAAAATCAAATTAAAAGCAAATATCACTCTGTGATATTTCTGCAGTGACCCTAGAGAACAACACTTTCCTGAATCTCCCTTTTTATTGATGATGTATTATAAACTGGTATTTCCTTAGGACAGGAGTGTGGTAGAAACCTTTGATCTTGGTGTCTTTTAGGTCCATATGGAAGAAGGCATATTCCGAGAAAAAAATTCCCTGGTATGAATTTATGTGACAGCCCACCTGTCTGTACCAGACAGTATTAGCAGCAGGTACTGATCTCTCTCTCTCTCTCTCTCTCTCTCTCTCTTCCCCATGAAGATTCCCAGAGTATCCTGCAACCCCAACAGTTAAACTCAAGTTACAACAGAACAGCCTAACATACCACAAATCTCTAATCACCACCATGACACCAAGAAAACCAAACTGTCTTTGCAATGCTCTTTTTTCTCTATGCTTTGTCTCAGATAAATAGATTCAAGAGGCCTAATTAAAACCAGTTGTTCCGCGGACTAACTAGTCCGCAGATCAAATATGGCACCACACACTTGAAAGCATGCTGATATTTAATTGTCCCGCCCCTTCTAGGACAGTGCACGTGGGAGGCAAGAAGCCATTGTCAAGTGCCCACCATTTTTTTATCTGCAAACCAACTGCTTCTGAGCAGGCCCACACTCAAGATAAAACAGCTCAAGTTTAAATTCTTTCAGTCTA